TGTACATTATTATATATACATGTATATTTTTACAGTTCTCTGCAACTCTTTGTTAATTCCCATGTTTGAATTCATGAACTTGTTATTCTTTTTTTTTAAATTAAATGTGTTATGAATTTGTATAGGAATACAATTTTAATAAAAAATCTTTAACAAATATATTTCTAGAGAAAAAATATTTTTTCCAGTTTCAGTATCTCTTATGGTTTTTGAAGATTTTATAATCACATGGAAGATTTTTAACAAAATTTTCTGGGAACACTGACGATAACATAAGCCACAACTGCCAATGTATATACATACTAGGAATGTTAATCACGCGATTTTCGGGATTTGTAGTTTGCGCTAATGGCAATAATAGAAACTCCTTTTCTTGACCAGTATTGGCTAAATTTCCTTTTTTATTTAATAATTAATATTTTCTATAAATGTCTAGCTCATTATATGTACATATAACACCGTGAGATAGTAAATTTTACACACAAAAATCAATTTATTCGCGAAACCATGGGCCAAATATAGTAAAATTGCGTTTTTGGTTTTTCACTCTGACGTCAGTAATTCAAAAATAATTAAAAAAATTCAGAGAAATGTGCTTAGAGAAGAAGTATGGGGTATTAAATTAAAAAGGAAATCCTGTAGAATTTAAACAGGTTCAAGTTGTTGGTGCAGAAGGACTGGTAAATATTGAAAAATGACATTTTCATTTACAATGACATTGAATTTTTTTCCTTTAAATTCCGCAATATTTATTTTTGAAAAAATTATATTTTAAGGACTTATGCATTAATTTGCAGACTTGATAACATCCTGAAATTTCGTCCTTCCAACTTTATCAGCTTAAAAAATTACCTATTCGCCCTTGTGAATCCCAAAAATTTTAATTCAAAAGAAATTTTCTCTTGCATTTGGTACCTTCATTTTTACTCTACATTGCATTGAATTTTATAAATAATTTTTGGAATTTATCATATATTTGAAATCACAAAGTCCTTTAAAATAAGTCCTGACGTCAGAGAGAAAAAAATAAAAACGCCATTTTAAATAAAAAAGTAGGTTTCAAACCCATTTATTTATATTATCGTAGGAGAGCTTCTTAAACAATATAGAAGCAATTTTTTCGATTTAAGTTGGTGAAAAGTAATGAATATCTAAATCCCGGGACTAATCCCGGGATCCCGGGATTGTGATAACGACATCCCGAAAATCCCGGGATCGGAAAAGCTAAAAAATTAACATACCTTATACATACATGTATGTATGTTTTTATATCTATATCTGTATCTGTATTTTAATAATTACTTGCAATTTTGCTATTTATATCTGTATTATGCATATGTACCTACATATATATCTTAATCCATCTGAATGTGAGTTTGTATGCATATTGCTGCTCTAGTTTACAAAAAATGCTTAATTTATCAGCTACTTCAGTGCAAATGTATAAGCATTTTGTTGCTAAAACGCTGCTGTCAAGATTATTCACTCGCATGAGTATTTGCTCAGCAGCAAGCAATAAGATCATCCGCACTCATTCACTCAACGCTCTAACCGCTAGTGTCTCACTGATCAGTGATCACCAAGCCGATCAATTTGTAATGAATGAATGAGGCGGTGGGTGGTGTTTGGGAGGTTGCATCGATGCAGACATAAGCAAACACACATGCATCAATATGGATTAAACGATCTCAACAACGCGGCCGTCAACGCTGGGTTAAATCGTCTGTTCGAATGTAAGGTGAGCAACAATGTTTTCATTTAGAGAATCAGCTACTTATAGGCGATTGCAGCATTTTACGTTGCGCTGAGCATTTATTGTACTAGTATTTAGTGTTTGTTGCTCCATCGAAGAGTGGGTAATTGCCTCCATATGGTCTTGCAACATGTGTATGGAATTAATTTCGTACAAATAGTATATCAAGAGTATACATATCTACATACAAACGCTGTGTGTAGGTAGCTTGTGGGACGCTGAACCCATTTTACGCGCAAGATTTTGCAATAAACTTTTGAATTATTTTTGCGAACATTCAAATAAATTATTAAGAATGGATACCAATAGGTTTAGGTATAAGTACATACGTAAGTAAACTTTTGATAGCACTATCACAGTAATACGAGAAATGGTCTGCTAACTAATTAACCTGCGCTTTAACCGCTGCGAGGCACGGGCGACACTTTGCTTCCTGAGTCTGGCAAAAACTGTGTTTCTAACAGGCTAACCTAATATTCGCGGCTTGCGTTTTGGTACGCATGCCGTCGAATTTGTTTTTTTGCGTCACCCGAAATTGACTTGCATGCGTTTGCATTTGATTTCATTGAGCGAAACGTCAAATCAAAATGTCACGCAGAACAAAAATTGGAAATTGAGTTAGCTTCATACGCACGCCGTTCAATTTCGGTTGATCTCATACAAGTTGCATGTGCATGAGAAATTTTTGACAATAAATTGGCGGCGTGCGTGAATATTAGGTTAGCCTGTAAGCAATTTTGGCCGAGTTCAACAAAAGCACGCCCAGTCATTTCTCTTCTGTGCCAATATATGCCAATTGGAAATGCCAAATGAAGCCAGGTCCTTCTCCACTCGGTCTTTCCATCGAAGTTGGGTCATTCTCCTCCCGCTGAAATGACTTATGTTCGAAACCAGGCAATTGTAGCGCAGAAGGCCATTTAAAGCGCGAGAACGACCTTGTGCAATATGAGTTCTTAATGGCGTCATCACAGACAGGTCACTGTGATATTGCTCCGAGGCTCCAAAGATGGCGCTTACCATAGACTTCTCTCTGCAGAAACTGCTCCGATGAGAATGTGTCGATATCCGGGTCCGCAGTCGAGGCGACTCAAGGCGCACGCCACAAATCGGAGGAGAAGCTCGGCCAAACACTCACATATGTGAAATCGCCAATCTATAATTATTATTATCGTGGATGCCGAGTTGAAGGGTCTTGCCACCAACCATGCGTTCATCATGCCCAATCCATTGTAGATTTATGTGTTCGACTATGTCCATGTCATTAAAAAGCTGGCCTATTTCGCGAATCTATATTTTTCTTGGATATAATAGTTCTCTCAACAGCTCCCTAGGGGCCTACTTAACTCTCTTCTACATCGTTCACGTCTCTGCGCAAACGACGGGTCTGATGGAAGATTTATAGAGCGTGGTTTCCGTTCGTCGGGAAAAGGGTCAGATTTTCCATTGCTTACGTCTGCGTCTCTTGGCAAGAGTTGTTATTGGCCTGATCTTCACACTCCTCCCCTATGCTGGAAAAGGCTTCGCTTTCGGCTCTGGTGTGAAAATCGACGATGTAAATATCATCTGCATACGCCAGCAACAGTTCGTTTGCTGTATATGATGTGGTCACGCTTCATATAGGTAGCTCTTATTACGCGTCCAGCATCAGATTGAAGAAGTCGCACCAAAGTCAGCATTCTTAATTAAATCTCGTTCAGTGGCGGATCCAGCGGGGGGGTTTTGGGGGTAAACTACGTGTCAGTAAGTGGCGGACCCACGGGGGGTGTTTTAACACATAGACGCCATATTATACATACATATGCGCCATATTAAAACACCCGCCGTGGGTCAGCCACTGACTGACACGTAGTTTAATCCCCAAAACCCCCCCGCTGGATCCTACGCAGTTTGAACGTAGCCAAAATTTGTTCCCAACGTCACTCTCCAAAGCCGTATTACTTACGCAGGGATGCCAAATTTAGACATGGCGTCGTATAGGCAAAATACTAATTTTCATTCTTTATAACAGCCCGAAAGCAATCCCTTATTAAGTTAATTTAAAAAGTTTGTAGCTTCTAATACAAATTTTCCATTCAGATCCTTTTTCATTGACGACTAGAATTTGGCAAAGAAAGTCATACAGGTTTTCGTGGCATCTTTTCGGTATTCTCGGGACTATCGATTTTGTTATCGATATTTTTTATCGATTCGGTTATCGATATTTTTATCGATTTTGTTATCGATATTTTATTGATTTTGGTTATCGATGTATTTATCGATTTTGTTATTGATATTTTTATCGAATTTGTTATCGATAATTTTATCGGTTTTCTTATCGGTATTTTAATGTTACTATCGATTTTATTATCGATACACATGCTGTGACATCATAAGGCAGAACATCACATGATATGACATCATTTGGCATGACATGGCATCCAATTACACTACTTCACATTACATCACATAGCTTCTTATCATGTCATCGTACCTCACATCATATAGGTGAATATGTAGATGAAGACCAAGATAAACGTAAACACTTTACTTTTATAAAAACCAGAGCACAAAGATAAAGGAAAACAGAATAACATAAATGTAATTAAAACGAAAAAGGTAGAGGTAGGGATCTAGATAGAAAAAATGAAAATGTATGTATATGTACATATAAATATTGGTTATGAGACAAACTAGATATGTAACTTCTCCAGTGTGGCCCAGGCGCACTTACTTTTTTATATGGAGAAAAATTAGCAAACATATTTTTACTTTAATGTAGAAAGGCTCTATATAACATTTTTGTTTCTTTCCAGGGTAGTTATTAAACTTTGTGAAAACTAAAGATCTTCAGTTGATATTTGTTTTGATTACACTGGTTTTTAATAAACACATAAACTATTTTTTTGATGTAGTAGTTGATTTCAAATTCGATTAAGCCATTTGTGAGTATTCGGTAGGACTTTTGTACAGAGCTAAAATTCGGATTAAAATGAGTTAGGGCCTTTCAATATTAAGGTAACGATGTGTATATTTATCGGAACATTTCTGCTTTTTTCTATATGCATGTTTGTATCGATATATACCACAAATAAGTTATCGATATATTTATCGCTGTAATTATCGAAATTTTGATAAAAAAATTTATCGATATTGTAATCGTTATCGATATAATCACCTCTATCATTATCACTTTTGTTATCGAAATTCATATTAATGTCATTTGATTTCGTTAATTTCAAAATAATAGTAGTTTTCAAATTAATACTAGATACAAATTAAGAGATATGCATACATATGAAAATACTCGTACCAAATCTGTTACTGTTA